TCATTGGGTTTTCCAGGCTTAGGCTTTTTGGAAAGAGACCACCAGGCCTGTCTTTTAAGGCACTCAGGTGGGTTCAGAGCACCAACTCTCCTGCTGGTAGTTGAGCACTAAATCCTTGACACCACTCGGGGTTTCTGTGCCCTAATGTCTCTTAGCTGGGTGTCACCAATGCAGGACCGATCTCTGCCTCCCCCTCCACATGGCATATCTGCCTCCTCGCCACGAATGGGCCAGGCTCTCCATGTGTTTGTGAGTGTCTGCAAAGGCAAAAGGTGCAGAATTTCATGCCCTACTGTGCTTGCTTTGCAGATCCCGAGCCGGTGGAATTCCGCTGTGAGATGGTCCCCAAACAGCCCACCTTGGTCCTCACATTTGCCTGCCCAGGTGGCTCCAATGCTGGTTTCCAGCTGGAGGTCAACAGGGGAGACTGGCACAACAGGACGTACCTGGAGGCCTGCTCCTCCTCGGAGAATGGCACCAGGTACAGGACAGAAGTCACGTCTTTGCTCTTTGCTACCTCATATAACATCAGCATCACCACCTTGTCCTGCGGAAAGAATACATCCTCTGGCCCAAGCATCTGCACCACCAGTATCACAGGTGAGCAGCAGGGCAGGAGGAGAAGGGGCCAGGGGGTGGTGTGGACGTGTCTGCAAGTGTGGCCTAGACATTTAGGTGTATTATTTTATTAAGAAAAAGACTTTCCCTGAACTATTTTTCATTGGCACAGACTGGCAACCCATTCCACAGAAGTCTGAAAAGTAGAAACTCATTTTTTATATCCCTGAAGGTTTCCTAGCTTTGCAGAATAAATTCATCCACATATTTTTTTGAAGTCTTCTTGCTGTATTTTTATAAAAGAGCATTTAGAGAAACGTTCAACTGTATGACAAAAATGAGGGCTAGCACCCAGTGGCCCAGCCCTGCACCCACAGTTGGCCACTTTTGCTTCAGTTGTGTCTTCTTCTTCTCTTACCCTTAGGAATTGCTTTGAAGCCAGTGCCACCCATGTGAGCACTTCACTCATAAACAGTTCCATAGCATGGTGGTGGGGCGAAGTGCTGTCAGGTCATTTTTTATTGAAACTCAGAGCAATCCCAAAGCAGACTCTTCCCACTCAATCCGTTAACGTAGCTACGTTATTATATAATCACACTTAGAAACATGATCAGATAATTGGTCACAGGTCGTGTTTTCCCAGACATCCTCGTTTGCATCTGCTTTCCAGCTGTTTTGTGGAGCACGAGCTCCTCACGGCACACAATTTACACACCACACACACACACACACACACACACACACACACACACACTGCAGTGTTATTTTTCATACAATGACTGAACTTGCTGCAGCAGCACAGTTGATTAAAAAACAAACAAACAAAACTTTTTACTGTGAATCGGGTGAAGATTTACAGAGCTTAAGTTGATTTTTTTTTAACGCCCCCCCCCCCACACACACACACATACACAGAGTGTGTGTGTATTTGGAAAAAGAAAAGGCTGTCACTACTTTGGCACCATTGTAGCTGCCCTTTCCCCCAGCGCTCTGTGGTGTGGGTGACGCCTCCCTCGCTGGTTTCAGTACCAGGGCGATGGTGACCTCACTGAGTGAGTCAGGGCTTATTCCTTCTGCTTCTGTTTCCGGGTTTAGATTGAGGAGAATTGGAAGAATTCACCAGTAAAAGCAGCACGGCCCAGGGATGCTTTTTGGAAGGTTATTGAGGATTAATTTACTTTATTAGGCTGTACAGAACTGTTTTTTGAAATATGGCATTATCTTTTTAAAAAAAACCACATTTTATTGGGAATTGGGTTTGAGAATTGTGTTAGACTTTTTAGAGTTCAGTTTTCTCAGTCTCACTGAACTTGGGATATATTGATAAAAGCTACCAGGAAGCAAAACAAGACAACCCTGCCGGGGCTGTCTCCACCTCCACGCCTTCTTTAAGAACCCGAGGCCAGCCCGTGGTGCTCCGATGTTGGAATGCGACGTGGTCGCTGCTACTGATTCCTGTGGTGCACCTCTGCTGGGCCAGAACTATAAAGGAATGTTTTCACATAGCCACAAGGGGCAAAAATGATGACAGTGGAAAAAATGGCTGAGCTGGAAGCTAAAAATCTGTCATCAGATTGAGTACACATTTTGACAGGAATCAATCAAACTAGATGAAGGCGGGGTACTGCCGGAGATAAGGATAAAACTCAACAGGTTAAAGTGGCCAACAACAGACTTTAATGTCATGCTGGAAGCATTGAGCAAGTCATAGGTAGAACTCACGGAAATACGTGAAGATACAACTAAAATCAGCAGCTCTCCAAACAAACCCCTCCCTGACGTGAATGAGGAGTATGCAAATTATATCAACAAACAGATCTGTGTTTATTCAGGACTTCCAACTGAGTGGTCAGAAGACACATGTCAAGTACTAAGTGTTCCGATGCAAAGCACACTGTCCAGAGCATTTCAGGGATCAGTACATGCTGTGTTTGAGAGAACGAATGTGCTAGGAAGTTTGTAGAGACAAGTATAAAGACACAGACCTGCTCATGCTTTTCAAGGATGATTACCCTGCAGAAAAGTAAAATAAAATAAAGCAAGCAAGAAAGCAAAGTAAAGTGGAGCCAGGCAGGCTCTCCTCCCACCAGGAGCCTCCCCTCGCTTGCTCCATCCGGGGTCTGCTGTGGAGCCAGCATGCGGCTTCCAGAGGTGGGCCATCTTATGGAGAGCGGCAGCAACTTCTCCCGTAATCATCTTGTTTTGAAATGTTGTGTGACCATTTTTTTGGGGTTTTGTTTCAGACCCCCCGCCTCCAGATGAACCCCCAAAGATCACATATTTCAGTCACAATTCAGTAAAGGTCAAGTTCAGTGGGTTTAAAGAGAGCTCCGGCCCCATTAAAGCCTACGCGCTCATTCTCACCACCGGCAAAGGTAAGGAGGGGGTCATGGCCGGGCACCCAGTGAATGATGCCCTTGATCCGCTGAAGCATGTTAATGATACAGATACATGTTTTGTTTTTTTTTAAAACCTCTGTAGCCCACCTATTGGCACCCAGACCTGAAGAGGGCAAGCTCTTTGCCTGACGCCTTGGTGTGGTAGACTTTCTGTGTGAAGGGCTAGATCAGCGCTTCTCAACCTGTGGGTCGCGACCCCTTTGGGGGTGGAACAACCCTTTCACAGGGGTCGCCTAATACATCCTGCCTATCATATAGTTATATGACGATTCATAACAGTTGCAAAATTACAGCTATGAGGTAGCAACGGAAATAATTTTATGGTTGGGGGTAACCACAACACGAGGAACTGTATTAAAGGGTCTTGGTGTTAGGAGGGTTGAGAACCGCTGGCTAGATAGACGATATTCACGGACCCCATGGGGTCTGTTGCAGCGATTGCGTTCTGCAGTTGTAGTGTGAAAGCAGCCACATCAACGGCTGTAAAGTCCGTCCGGACTCGGAGCAGAAATATGCTCCAGAGTGGTTTCATAGCTGGGACCTTTTGGAAGAAGACTGCCAGGCCTTTCTTCCGCAGAGCTGTGGGGGCAGGTTCACGCTGTCAACCTTTATAGTTTGAAAGCTGCGACCTTAACCTTAAAAGCAGCTATAGACAACACACAAAGAGTGAGGGCAGCTGTGTTCCAGTACAGCTTTGCTCACCAGGCAGGCGCTAGGTTGCACTGGCTCCGTAGTTTGCGGACCTCTGCACTAGGGTTTCCTTCTCTTTTAGAACAGGGCGTGTCCCTGGAGATCCCCTTGCAGAGGGGTCTCGGGGAGGAGATGAGCAAGTCTGGGTGCGATGTAACAACGATGAGAAATACAACTTTCCTCTAGTTCCTAAATGCTTCCTCCCCGCCCCCACTATCATGATCCGAATTCTACCTTGCAAGTCTGGCTAGACCAGAGGAGGTACACTGGTACAGATAGGAACTGAAAATACAGGGAATCCAGGGCGGATGAGCCCTACAGGACCAGTGGTGTGAGTGGCAAAACAGGGAGGGTAGAGGGAGAGTGGGTAGGAAAGAGGGAACCGATCACAAGAACTATATGTGACCTCCTCCCTGGGGGACGGACAACAGAAAAGTGGGTGAAGAGAGACGTCAGACAGGGCAAGATATGACAAAATACCAATTTATAAACTATCAAGGGCTCATGAGGGAGGGGGGAGCGGGGAGGGAGGGGAAAAATGAGACCCTAATGCCGGGGGAGAGAAAGTGGAGAGAAAATGTTTTAAGTGGAGAGAAAATGTTTTGAGAATGATGTACAAATGCGCTTTACATAATTGATGTGTGTATGGATTGTGATAAGAGTTGTATGAGCCCCTAATAAAATGATAAAAATAAATAAATTAAAAAAAAAGAACAGGGCGTGTCTGTGGCAGAATATTAGACTTTAACGGGCTTGTGTTCTTGCTTGCTGGCTCCCACGCTGCACGCACGCACCGCTCCCCAGAGGTGATGACTCTCTTGAAAGGAAGTAGAAGATTATTGGCCTTTCTTGGCGTGCATTTAAAAAGCTCATTCTGTAGCCCAGAGAAGAGGTGGATGGAAGGCTGCTCTCCTTACAGGGTCCACTGTGTGCTTTGGGAACAAGAAGGGAATGACCCCAGGCCGTCTCTGATGGCTGCTCGTGGCTGCTCCTCACACGGCCCAGGTCTGAAATGCCACGTCCTGTAGTTCTGAGCTGTTCTCTAAACCCAGTATGAATACGGCTGAGCCTCCTGTGTCCAGTCTTGTCACCGGTGTGCTGTCCTGCTCTCGATCCAGGACTGGACCCCACGCACTGCGGGGACCACGAGCACTCGGGCTGAGGATGCGGCTGGGGTCTCGAGTCGGCAGAGAGTCCAAAAGGGATGTCAACATTGCTCTCTTTCCATCTTGTGATTTCGGTCACTTTTCAGGCTCTCAGTCCTTTGGCTGTGATGGTCTTCAGCATCTCCCAGCGCAGGCCTTTGTCGGATGAGAGTCAGGTGAAGCGTTAGGCGGCTGAGTCAGGCCCTGGTTCTGCCCGTGCTCCATGGAGGCACAGGCATCCCACTTGCTTGTCATCTAACCGGGCAGCTCCTGCAGCCTTGGCCAAGGAGACTACAGGCCCCGAACGAGAGGGGCTACGTGAGAAATCCAGCCGCACCTTGTAGGCCTTTGCGACTGTGGACCCGTCTTTAGCTTCCTGTGTCTTCATTTCCTCCTTTATAAAATGGGGACGATAAAACCTAGCTGGAATGTTGGTGGTTCGAACTCACCCAGAGATGCCTCAGCTCAGGCCTGGTGATCTGCTTCCCAGAGGCCACAGCCTTAAAAACCTGTATGGGACAGTTCAACTCCACGGACTGGCCATGGGCTGGACTCGACCCGATGGCGACTAACCTGCCCCACCAGCACCCCCACCACACCACACGTTTGTGCTGAGACGGTAGGGAGGGTAACATGAGTGCCCGGCACAGAGAGAACACTGAGGGGTGTCGAACTCTCAGGATTGTGCCCTGCCAGCATTTATGTGTGCTTGATAATGTGTCTTCTAACACACAGGATTCTAAATCCCCCCCGCCTCCCTCCACCATCACTTTCTTTCTTTATGATTTTCTCCCTGTGTGCCTTCTTAGCTGAGCGCCCCTCGGCGGAGGTCTTGAAAAACAGATATGAAGATTTCAAAAGGGGGGCTTCGGATACGTATGTGACGTACTTCATAAGCACCGAGGAGAGACAGCGTGCTCAGGGCTCATCCCAGGACGCCAAGTATGAGATTGACGTTGGGAATGAATCGACTACGTGCGGCTATTTCAACGGGAAACTGGAGCCGCTCGGCTCCTATCGGTAATGGCTCCTGGTTCTTGCTCTCTGGGTGGGCGCAGCCCACTGAGCACAAAGCTCTACACGCCTGGGACCCTGGCCCCAGCTCAGTTGCCTTCTTTCTCTTTGTCTCCTGCAGGGCCTGTGTGGCTGGCTTCACCAATATTACCTTTTACCCTCAAAACCACGGACTCATAGATGGAGACCAGAGCTACGTGTCCTTCAGCAACTACTCCGAGGTTGTCTCCTTGCCCCAGGATCCAGGTAGAAGGAAACTAACCGTGCTCTCTGTAACTTAGTGGGGTTATGCTTACATGGTGCCCCAGCATCTGGAAGCAATAAAATGGGGGTGAGAAAACCTTGCTAGAATGTATTCCTTCCCTGGGACCTCAGGAGGGTTTGTGGGCCAGGCTCCCCTCTTGGCAGTGGAGACGCCGCCTGGCCTCCAGGGCGCAGTCGGCTTCCTTCCTGAGGTCATTGACAGACCTCCTCTGGACGCCGGCTGAGTTTTCAGTCTGCAGAACCAGTGCAGACGTCTTACTCCCATAGAGTTGTTCGTGAGCCCGTGTTCCAGGCACATCTGTGAGTTTCAGTGTGTGGAGCCCTGGACTGGTCGCTCGTGCAACCTGTGGTCCTGTGTGAGCCCCACGTGAATTCCCCTTGCTTGACGTTTCCTCAGGTGTCATCTGTGGAGCTGTGTTTGGCTGCATCTTTGGTGCCCTGGTCATCGGGGCTGTGGGCGGCTTCATCTTCTGGAGAAAGAAAAGGTGACTAAGGACTGCTTGTGTCATTAATAACAAATGCGTAAACTATTGCTGCCAGGTCGCTTCAACTCATGATGACATCCTGTAGGTCAGAGTACAACTGGACGCCCTAGGGCTTTCAGTAGATGTCCTGTCCTTTTTTTCTGAGCTATCTCTGATTGGACCCGAACTACGGACCTTTTGGTTAGCACAACTGCGTGTGTACACTGCGTGTACCACCAAGGGACTCTGGGTTAACAATAAGAACCCTACATTTTTGAGGAAGCTTTTCTTATTATGGGAAATTTCAGACCTCTTCCCAAGTGGAAGCAGCAATACAATGAGCACCGTAGTCCCACGTCTGGAAATTAACATTATTAGACTACCAGTGGGTCAAGGAAGAACACACAAATGTCTCAGAGACCAATGAACGAGGAAAGCACCACATACCCAAACGTAGGGGGATCCAGCGAAGGCAGGGATCCAAGGAAAACTCTCAGCAAAGAAGGCCTGCATGGAGAAAGGAGACTGTAACTCAGGAGCCTAACCTGACAGCTTGAGGAAGGGAAGGGACAGCTAACCCTAAACCTACCAGGAAAAACAATTGGACGGGGTGGGGGTGGGGATAGAGAGAGAAAAATGAGCAGAGAAGAAACATCCACCTAAGAGAAAATAGAAAAACAAAATAGAAAAACTTTATAAATGTATAAAGTCCTTGAACAGGGGGAGAAACATACAATTAATCTTTTTGGTCTAATGGATCTTTCCCCCTTTTCTTTCCAACAGGAAAGATGCCAAGAACAATGAAGTGTCCTTTTCTCAAATCAAGTAAGTCTCTAGGAGAGCTCTGTTTGAAGATAGCGCGTCTCCATTCTGGTCAGTGACGCCCCGGAGAGGGTGTGATGGAACTGTGGCCACTGTTTTCTCAGTCATGCTCATTTGAAAGTTGTTGCTCTGTTATTCTGCAAGAAATTCATGTTTCATTAGCGTTAGAAGCTATTTGTCCTGTTCTGAAAAATGCTTGTTTTGTAGTGGCCTTAAAAAAAAATTAAATGGCTGAGCCAAGATGGCAAAGTCAGTCAGTTGCATCTCTCTGGGATGTAAACAACACCTAGAAATCACGTCTAGAAGTCAGCGCTCCTCACACCAGTATTGTAGGTACCACGCTGACCTCCCCAGTGCCGCCAAGTAGACGCTGGGCTTTGTTCTTTGGGGAAGATGTGCACTTATCTCCAGAGTCACGATTGAGTCAATCTTTCTAATTGTTTGTTTGTTTTTTTTCCCTCTTCTATGATAAAGACCTAAAAAGTGAGTAAAATCTTTTTCTTTTAAACACTTTTATTTTTAAAAACTTTGATACAAACTTTTTTTAAATTAAAAAAAAATCCTCATCGGTGGTTTTGATTTCTTAGATCCAAGCTAATCAAAGTGGAGAATTTTGAGGCCTACTTTAAGAAACAGCAAGCTGACTCCAACTGTGGGTTTGCAGAAGAATATGAGGTAAGTGGGTGTCAGTAGGCTGTTCCCAGTTGCTTTCTCGTGTTTTCCTTGAAAGTTGAAAAGCCTCCCGTTTTGGTTCTGATGAAGAAGCCAGTGGAAAGCGACCCTCTTACAGAGGGGAGAGGAGATGTGCTTGTATCTCCTTGGGCCCTTACATGGTGGCCATGCTGAAGGTGGTCCTAGTGGTGGTGGTGGTTAGTGTCCACGACTCAGAGAGACCCCATGTGTGCAGGGGGGACCTGCTTCTTAGAATCTTCAAGGCTGTGATCTTTCAGAAGCAGGTCACCCAAGTCTGTCTTCCCAGGCACCACTGGGTGGATTTGAACTGCCAACTGTCCTGCTAGGGGGATGGACTGCTTAACTGTGTGTGTCACCAGGAACCCTGCTTCGTGGGAAGCTGTCTTTCATCTTATTGCTCTCTGAAGATGATCCAGAGAGTACACAGATACAGAAAGTGGGGATTCACGCTAGGAGACCATCGACTAGAATATTTAAGATGCTGTATGAGCTGGAAATAACCAGATGGGGCCTGGGGCTGGATGACTGTGTGTCAGTGTTGAGCCATGAAGATTCCATGCAGCCCTCCAGCAGCTATTCCTCTGCCCATTTCTGCCTTTAATCCATCATACACTCTTATCCCTCGCCAGTCTGGGAACGACCCCCAGCAGTTCTTCATGTGCTGCCCCTACTGCTGAAGTTATTTACTCGTTATTATTATTTACTCGATCGAAATCCTACTTACCACCTGTATGGGGGCTTCAAACAGCTTGTGGAAAATTGCCATTACCTTTTAATTCCCAGTTTCCTCTGAACCTTTTGAAGCCCTCTTGTATGAGTTTCCTGGGACTTCTCTAACATGTTACCACAGATCTGGTGGCTTACAACGACAGACGCGTGTTCTCTCGTCGTTCAGGAGGTCAGAATTCAGAAAGCAAAGTGTCAGCTCATCCTTCTGAAGGTTCATGGGAAGACTCTTCCTTTGCCTCCCCCAGGTGGTGGTCGCTCCGAGTTCCTTGGCTTGTGGCTGCTTCACTCCCAGCCCTGCCTTCATCTTCACATGGCCGTTTCTTCTCTCTCCCTCCCTTCTGTGTGTCTCCTATGGGGGTACTTGCCTTTGGAATTAGGGTCTGCCTCCATGCGATCTCATTTCAAGATTTTTAAATTTCATTGCATCAGCAAAGACCCTATCCACACGTTTTGAGGGCTAGAATATGGACATTTATTTTGGGGGGTGGTGGAGGAACACATTCAAAATACATCTTAAATGTTCTCTCCTCTGATCCCATTAGATGTCTTGATGTCTATGGCTTCAGATGAGCACCTTGCTTCATTTCTGACACACGACTTATTACCAGTATTCAGCATTTGTTTCACTCTCTCTTAGCTGCAGCCCCCCCATCTCTTCATGCCTCAGCGTGTGAGCTCTTTGACAGTAAAGAGTATCCCCTTTTCTTTTAAAATGTATTTATTTAGCAGAACATATACTACTTCATCAATGTCTACGCGTATAATTCAGCGACATTGGTTATGTTCTTCAAGTTGTGCCATCTCTCTCAAAAACTCTTTCCACGCTCCTTCGCAATCATCCACCCAGACTGCCCCTAAGCTTCCCCACCAGTCCCTTGAGTGGCCCTTGTCAATTGGATCGCATATTGGCAGTTCTTAAAAGAGTATCATGCTTCAGGCAGGCATTCTTCTTGAGTTAGGCTAAATGATGATTTGGTTCAAAGACGACTTCAGGAGATAGTGTTGGCTCAAGAGTTAAGGATTTCCTCCAGGAATAGTAGAAGGCATCATCCAGTCTCCATAGTGCCAGAAATTCTGAATTCCATGAAAAATTCATATTCTGTTTACATGACTCCCCTCTCCCCTCCTTTGATCAGGTCTCTTCTATAGCATCCTTGAATAAGTGTTTAGTGTGGTAGCTGGGTACCATCCGGTTCTTCCAAGCATATGGCAAAGAAGGCGGCTATTCATGGAAGCGATTCGACACACATTCCATGTCCTCCACTGCTCTGACCCACTTCCTTCCTCTGGTGCTCCCAGGAAATGATTGTACTTTGGATGGCAGCTCTGAAAGTTTTAGGGCTCCAAGCACGTCATGGTGATGTAGGAGGTAGAATAGAAGTACCAGAATAAAAGTCCAGTCAACTGACATGTCGTGCAAAACCATGACCCTAAGCCTCTGAGCCGATTGACTTAACTTCTGCCCTGCACTGGCTCTGGCATGCCCTGAACTCTATCCATTATATCTCAAGACAAAATGAACAAACCACCCACTTTGCTTTCAGGACCTGAAGCTTGTTGGAATTAGTCAACCTAAATACGCAGCGGAGCTGGCTGAGAACAGAGGAAAAAATCGCTATAATAATGTTTTGCCCTGTAAGTTATTTTCTCTCCAGTACCGTCTCTTTTCCTTTCTGCCCCCTGTCATGAACCACCACATCTTTAACCGAAGAGAAGGGGGTATGAGCTCATCTCTGCAAACCCATAAGCTCTGCACCTTTAAGGTGTGACAGAAGCCCAGTGTTACGACTATCTGGCCCTTTCATTTTCTCTCGTACAACTTTCCTAAAAGACTTCCCTCTAGTGAAGTGGCTCTCAACCTGTGGGTCTCGACCCCTTTGAGGGTCAATGGACCCTTTCACAGAGCTCGCCTGATTCATAGCAGTAGCAAAATAAGTTATGAAGTAGCAACAAAAATAATGTTATGGTGGGGGTGGGGTGGGGTTCACCACACCATGAGGAACTGTATGAAAGGGTTGAGGCATTAGAAAGGTTGAGCACCACTGCTCTAGTGAGTTTTGTCTTTGTTTGAATGTTACAGATGATTTTTCCCGAGTCAAACTTTCAGTCCAGACCCATTCAACGGATGACTACATCAATGCAAACTACATGCCTGTAAGTGGGGGCATGCTCTCATCCCACAGGTTTACTAAGCAGAACTCCACTTTGTTGCCTTCTGGGGAGGTGTTCATGTGTGTTGCTTCCATCGTTAGGGCTACCATTCCAAGAAGGATTTTATCGCCACCCAAGGACCTCTACCCAACACTCTGAAAGACTTCTGGCGCATGGTTTGGGAGAAAAACATATATGCTGTCATCATGTTGACCAAATGTGTGGAACAAGGAAGGGTAAGTATGTTAAAAACACGTGTCTTTTAAAAAACAAAACACCGCCAGCACCATCAGCATTACCTGGGGATTGGACCCATACAGTTCTTGAGGTTCCCCAACCCCCACGATCTTCTGGATTAAGAGACTGGTGGGGTGGGACTACCCTCCACCTGATTCTCGTGCATGTTTAAGGTTGAGAACCACCTCTAGTTTCAGAGATGAGTTCTGTAGTTTTTTTAATCTAATGAATGTTAAAAAAAAAAAAATCACTGCTTTTTTTTTGGTAGGCAAATAGCAATCTTCTCTACTCATTGAATCGCTACTGGTGGAGTAGTTAAATGGCAGGAGTTGGGTTAGTGCTGTGGGAAAACTCCCCGCGGTGGAGCTCTGCCCCTTATCAGCTGTGTAAACATGTGTAAGCCCCATCTGTGTCTAAGCCACCAGCTGCCTCATCTATGACAGGAGCGATCCATCCAACCTGGCAGTTCTCATGCTTAGATTTTAGTACAGGACCTCTTAATTGAAACAAATCCCCAGTCATATCCTCAGGTAAGTCTCAGCTATCCGTTCCTCCTCTGTGGTGCTCTGAAAACCCCTTGCCATTTCTGCCCCAAATAAGCTTGTGTTTGGCAGTAAATATCCATACTTCCATAAATGGACGGAAGGGGAATTGAAAAGCACATGATAACTTCAAGAATCTGTGTGGGAGGAATGGAGCCCCATGCTGCTTGGTGAATTGTTTCCCTGTAGGTTCATTATTTGAAGAATAGGAGACGAGGCCCTTCCTGAAAGCAGTGGCTCTCAAATGGAACCATACACTAGAATCCCACAGAGGGTAGTTTGACCTCCCCAGAGTGGCTAACTCAAAAGGTCTGGAGTAGGGCCCAAGAATGGCATTGATGACTATCTCCAGGTAATGTGGATGGTATTGGACCAGGCTCTGCAATTAGAGCAGGATGGGGTTGGACTAAACTCTGCACTTAGAGCAGGGTGGTATTGGACTAGATTATGTGCTTAGATCAGCACTGTCCTTGGGTATAGTTAGAACCCGTCTGGCAAAATTCCCTTTCATGTTCTTTATTTCACCTCAGTTGGGCGGGTCTTTAGTGAGAGCGAAGTGTGTTCCTGTGCTAAGATCCCTGTGAGAAGGAGGCAAAGAGGACAAAGACAGGCTTGGGCTCTGCCTCCCTTTGTGCATCCGGAAAGTAAACTATTATGGAATAAATGAACATTGCTTTATGAATGCAAACCAGCTTGATGGTGCTGTTGAGGTTAGAGCCTACCATATGGAAGACACGCATAAACATCTATGAAACCCATGAAAAGGATGTGGTGAAATTAACATAAGACACGAAGAGGAATTTAGATGGGCCACGGTTTATCTAAGTGTGGATAGCAGTGGGTGTTACTGGGTAACGGAAGAAGGGAACTAGCACATATTCTCGTGATTGACTTTGTACTCGTACCCCACATAAGTTCTTTTTGTCCCCTCACAACATCCCAGTGGTGACCGATCATTTTATAGATGGGGGAAAATGAGACGCAGGGAGTTGAAGAACCCAAGGAGCCCCCCAAATCCAGCTGTTGGGAATTTGGGCTGGGTATCAGCCTCATGTAAGTGCATGTCAGAGTTGTCAGGTGTTCGTTCCTGGAACGGTGATCTGGAAATCAGGACCATATAAAAATGCACATCCCTGCGCCAGGTGAGGGACCCAGCATCGTTTTT